CTCATGGGCTCCGGCGCGCCATGAAATCGTCGCAGCCCTCCCGAGGTCGTATGCGACTGTGGCCTTGTCTTGGCAGGCGGCGGCTCGTCATCGTCCGTTTGCACCTCCTCTCGGGCCCTTTTGACTGGGCGCGGCTTTGGTCTTGGCTGGACAGGCGGTGACTCGTCCTCGTCCATCGGCTCCAGGGCGCCCGGATATCGTGATGGGCCCGCGGCCGGTGGTGGGCTCAGACTGCGATGATGCATGGGTCTCGATGACCCCGATGCCTGCAATCGTCGCTTCGGCTGCGAAGTCGTGCGTTCCAGGTTCAGTCTGCATATCGTACAGGACGTCCCGGATTACTCACCGGTTGTCGACCATTCTCTTCATTTTCGTTCATAACGTATGCGCGCTTCTGCAACGTCGACTGTAAAGATTGCGAATAAGTCAAGGTTAGTGCGAGTGTGAATATCTACAGACCTGATGATGCATCACAGCAGTCTCGACATCGGAATCCACCTCGACGGCCTTGACGACGCCACGTTTGTCTTGACCAATTCGTCTCATCGCATCCCGTCCTTGCTCTCCCCCGTCCTCCTGCTCACCCCAGCGCTTGTCTCCCAGTGACTTTTCGACCCCTGCTCCTTCGCCAGTGTCCCTGTCCTCATCTCTGTACACAAGGTACTGCTGATCTGGCTCGTGCGTCCCATCATCATTCGGGAAGTACAATTCTTCTTCGTTGGAGGACGGATCGCGGGCTTCGTTCGGCAACAAACGAGCGGCCTTCGGCCGCGGGGCTACATTTGCTGCTCGGCTGCCCTTCCCTCGACCACGGCCACGGGAATTTCTCGTTGCCCGGCCTTGGACTCCGTATCTTCTTTGGTGCCAGGCACTAGTTTGCTCCACCGTGTACATCACGACTTGCTCGAGGTCACCAATCATGACGATATCGTCCTCCTTGTCCTCACTATGGGCCCACCGTGTGACGAGCGGGATGTCGGCCTTATGATCCCAGGACGCGGCCTTCTCCTCTGTGACCGAAATCAGCTCCAGAGCCGTGTGAATGCCATCTGATTACTAGCCTTTAGTCCATGGTTCGATGGCAAACTTCGGGCCTTCTCCATCCGGGAGGAAGGGCATGACCATGTGTTTAATGAGGTCGTCAACACCATTCCCTCGGAACTTGAATGCATAGCTGGGGTTCGTGTAGATCAAGAAGAAGTCGGGGTCCGCATTGATGAGCCGCACTTCGTGCTTTAACATGAAGTCGAGCAATTTATGCCACGGGAAGTGGTCCATATTGACCGTGATGGGAATACGCACTAGCGAGATGATCAGATACATGTGACCGGCAACAGGAGCCAAACTCACGGCATTTCCGCTTGAACAACACCTTAAAGACGCGATGCAAGTATTCGCGTTCACCTTCACGAGGTTTTGCTGCCGGTATCACATCGCTTTGAAGCGAAGGAGGCGGTAACTCTGGAGCCCCGATGCCCAGCATTGCCATCTCGAGAACTCTGACACGATGTGTTGGCGTAGGTATCAATGAGTTGCGATGTACGTACCGAATCGCGGCCTGATAGTTCGCCATAGTGTTCCACATGTCACCTCCGTACCTCGTCCTGAGTTCCGCCCACGGCGGAGAACCTCCGAAGGCCGTGAATCCGCAGGGGCCTTTAGTGTCGATGAGGAAGCCGAAACAATGGAGACCTTCATGCCTCCAGAGGTTTTTGGCCTAAAAGATGCTCAGCGTCTGCAACAGCACGCTGAAAATGACTCACCAATTGTACCGCCAGTTTCACGGCACGTTTGAACTCGCGCTTGAGCTTCCCTTCCTTGCCGAGTTTCGCTAGATACGCCTCCTCCCGCTCCTGTCTCCAATCCAGGTAAGGTTGCGCAGCATCTACCTTTTCTTGGCCAGAAAACTGGCCGATTCTCTGGTGATATTCAGCTTGCAACCGAGCCATGAAGGATTCCGGTGACTCTGTTTCACCATGAAATCAGCCCGCGTGTAGTGAGCTGAAGATATAGTGCTTACCGTTTTCTTTGTCGTGCGGTTTGTGCTTTGCGTACCACGAAGAAAAAGCCGCCCACGGGCTCTTGGCACGCTGCTTTACGACTTCCGGGCCAAACAACATCTTCAGGATTTTCTCCGCGGGCCGTTCGGTCAAAATCGCCATCTTTTCCACGAATTCGTCAATCTGCTCGATGAAGTCTTCTATCATGGCGAGGTATTTCTTTGGTAAAGGGCCGGGTTTCGATTTTGTAGTCTCCTCAGATGAGCTCGAGCCATCATCTTCATCAGTACCACGCTCCCCGCCATCATCCTTTGGAACATGCGCCTTCGCCTTCACCTTCGCCTTCGCCTTCGCCTTCGTTTTCGTCTTCGCCTTCGTCTTCGCCTTCGCCTTCGCCTTGCGTTGCGATAGGAGACCCCTATTTTCAGACGCGGACTGTTGCTCGTTGTCGGAAGGGTCTCGTGATATCCCCTTCCCCTTTGGGTCGGGTGCAGCATCGGCCTTTTCAGATCGTGAGATTCTTTCCGCCGCTCCGGCGTCCGCTCTGCGTTCTGCTCCGGCCTGATTCGGACTACCCTCTGAAGTCTGAAGCGATTCGCCCTTGTGCGTCCTGGTAACCGATGATGCCTTCGATCCCTCATTATTTTGTGATGGTGCCTGCTTCTGGGTGGGTACTCGACGACGTGCATTGGAAGGTGCACAGTCTTCTTCGTCAACCGCGTCTCTCTCAAGCTCGTCGTCGTCGTCGTCGGCGTCGTCGTCACCCTCCTCGTCCACGTATTCATCGCTGTCTTCACCAGAAGTATCTCGTGGCGCGTTCGCATTCTCTGCGCCGGAATGCTCTCCAGTCGAGTCGAAGAAATGAGGGTCCGCTCCTCCCTCCCATTGGGCGACATCTGACTCGTGATTCAAAGGAATATGTTCATCATCCAGGGAGCCAGTTTGGCCAATATATGCATCCGGACTTTGTGAGCGATCGATGAACGGTGGCGAAAATCCGGGATGGTTTGGATCTGCCGAAGACGGGACGCCTTGAGCAGCTGCCTGAATACTTGCTAGCAGCCCGCGTTGCAGTCTTGGATCGGATAGTAACCGCCCACTCCACAGCACCTTTGGTTGCACAACGGGTCGCGCTTGAGAAACAGCATGTAATAATGGTGGGATAAGATCTGCAGGATCACGCTGTCGTTCATGAGGGGAGGATGGGGAGGCGAAGACGCCCGCGCTGCCCACGTTCGTGTCCACTCCGCTCAACCTCGGCAGGTCGTCCGCGTCTTCTCTCGGGCTCGTGGCGGAGGGAGGCGGCTGCTGCCATTGCGTGTCAGCTATACATCACGAGACGGAGCTTGAGGATGAGCAACACACCAGAGGGGAAGATCGGGGGGCAAAGACGTCCGCGTTGCCCACGTTCGTGTCCACTCCGCTCAACCTCGGCAGGTCGTCCGCGTCTTCTCTCGGGCTCGTGGAGGAGAGAGGCGGCTGCTGCCATTGCGCGTCAGCTATACATCACGGGACGGAGCTTGAGGATGAGCAACACACCAGAGGGGAAGATCGGGGGGCAAAGACGTCCGCGTTGCCCACGTTCGTGTCCACTCCGCTCAACCTCGGCAGGTCGTCCGCGTCTTCTCTCGGGCTCGTGGAGGAGAGAGGCGGCTGCTGCCATTGCGCGTCAGCTATACATCACGGGACGGAGCTGGAG